AAGGAACTCGATTAATGAGATACACTGTTGTAAGAATAGCATCGCCCAGAAACGAATAGGCACATTGGAGTTAAACATAATGCTTCTAGCCACCTCCAATATGTGCCTATTCTTMCWCTCRRSAACCCCATTMKGYTGTGGTGTATAAGGACAAGTACTCTGGTGAATAATCCCATGATCAAGCAGATAAGAGGCTAATGGCTTGGTAAAGTACTTTTTCACATTATCGGATCTGAAGATTTTGATTTTGACCCCAAACTGGGTTAAAATCATCTGATGAAAGATCTGGGTCAGAGCAAGAACCTCATCTCGAGAACGCATAAGGTAAACCCAAGAAAAACGGGTATAGTCATCAACAAAAAACAAGAAATATCTGTATCCCCCCATAGAAGGGATGTGATATGGGCACCAAACATCGGTGTGCACAACATCAAAAGAATTACTACTTCTTTTATTACTCAAGGAATAAGATGTTCTACAATGCTTTGCAAGCTCACAACTCTCACATCTCAAATTTGACATCTGAACAGACTCAAACAAATTTGGAAACAAACTCTTCAAAGACCGAAAGGATAAATGACCTAACCGATTATGCCAAAGCATAACCTGACTAACAGACTGAGAAACAAAAGACTTCCTATCTTCACAATCTTCCCAATGAGAACTCTCCAAGCAGATAAATCCCATTCGTCTCATGGCCAGTCCCAATCACCTTCCTTGTCTCCAAGTCCTGAAAAATACATCGGCCAGGGAAAAAAGTTACTGAACAATTCTGATGTTTTGTAATACTACTGACTGAAAGCAAGTTAGTATCAAGCTTAGGAATATGCAGAACTAAAGATAAGGAAATGGTATTAGACAACTTGATGTCTCCCTTGGCAGAAATGGGAACAAGGGAACCATCAGCAATGAACACTTTATCTCTACCAGAAGTTAAGTGATAGGTAGTGAACAGTGATGGAAAGCTAGTCATATGGTCAGATGCACCTGAGTCTATTACCCAACAATGTTCAGTGTTACCTGGAGCTGAAGCATGGTAAGCTGAGGCCCGAGTACCTGAATGAGCAAAGGTTGATGTGGAAGGAGCTGATGATGGCTGAGATGATTGAGCTGAATTCCCAACTTCCTTTTCCAACTGAGTTAGGGCAGCCCCGACAGCAGCTAAGGTGTCTAGAGGTGTGCCTTTTGTGCCCGATGAGGATGCAGAATCGGTATTAACAACCATATGAGCATTACCCCTTTTGTTCCTCAGTTTTATTGGAACTAGATGAGAGTGGAGCTTCCAACATGTGTCTTTAGTATGCTTAGGTTTCTTGCAATGTTCACACACTAGATCCCGCTTATCTTCCTTCTTTATATCCC